AGAGAAGAAGACGGCGGGTGTGGCGCATGGCGTGGCGGCAGTCATCGAACAAGTCCCTGCCTTGGCTCCGGCGCTGGTGGAGGATGTCATGGCCTCGCCGACGGCTGAGGACATGTTCAAAAATATCAGGGCGCAGTACTTGGAAGTTCTTTACAAGTCCAAGGTAGGCAGGCGTCGCTTGCAGTTGCTTCCTTCATGCTAGCCAGCTAACCAACGCAGGGTTCGCTGGCGTACTTTGCCAAAGGCCCTTTGTCGCGCGCCAGAGCGGCTTTTCACATGGACTGTGATGGTAACCTCAGCATGGACGACCTCATCGAGTACCTGACCAGCCAGATCATGACGACGGTACAACTAGACAAGAAGTACAGGGAGACGATCCCTGACATCATCTCCAAGATGAAGACGCATGTTGAGAGCTCAGATGACGGCAGCAAACCAAAGAAAAGGAAACCCAAGAAGATGAAGCTCGGCAAAGATGGCCTGTATCCCACCGAGGACAGCGTTGTTCGGACATGGTGGACGGCAAATCGACCTGAAATCGCGGACGAGGATGCAAGCATTACACCGGCGCAAATTCGTTCTCACGTGGACCTCCTTCGAACTCGAGAGACGCAACTCCAGATGATTCTCATTCTGGAGATTCTGAGCCTGGAGCTTCTGCGACCCAAGGAAAACGAAGAGGAAAGCCAACTGCCAGGGCTCGCACCAACAGAAAACAAGGACGGCTCTGCATCACAGCCTGTGAAGAAGCGCAGCAAACACAAGCTCCCAGTGCTTGTTGACGTGCACGCCGATCGATTGTGCATCTGGCAATCCACGGCCTCTGACGAGCTGAGGTTACTCGAAGATACCCAAGTTGTGACGCAGGCGGATGGAACCAAGCTGGGCCAAAAGGCTTCGGCGGACCCCTTGAAGGACTTTTGCACCGATATCATTATGCAGTTGTAAGTTGATCATGCCACACCACCACAGGGCTCATTCTCATCACGTTCAGTTTTGCTGCCCGCCTTCCGGAACTGTGCGACGGAATCAACCGGAAACTTGGAGGGCCCGTCATCATCCCCACCCCTAAGCCAAAGCAGACAAAACCTTCATCGAGCTCCAAGCCAAAATCCAAGACAAACGTGGTTGCGAAACGCAGCATATCAGCGTCCAAGGCATCAAAGAGCATCCAGGAGGAACTGGCAAAGGAACAGTCTCGCCGTAGCGTGTCACGGGGGCCAGGCAGCGCCATCGCACTGATGAGGTCGGCCACCTCGTCAACGCTACCTGCCCTGAAGCGAGAGTCTAGCGATCAGTCGCTCCTGGGTGGCATGGCCAAGGCTGAACCAGGCTCCCTCTCCGAGAGGTCGCGGGTCCTGTCGAGAAGCAGCAGCATGACTGCTCTCGGCGATGTCAAGGCGCAGAAGAAGGCCATTGTCGATGCCGAATTGCGCAACGCTATAAGTGTGCTCAGGAAGCCGAACCGGGAAATGGCCAATCTGGACGTTGTCGAAGCTGCGGAACGGAGGACGTCCGGTGGCCTGTCGCACACGAGAAGTGCGTCATCCTCCATGTCCCAGATGAACCCACGACTGACCATTGCATGATAGAAACGAAAAAGCCCGTTCGGCACCCCCTCTTCCAGTCGGTGCAGGTCAAGGCCACGCCTGCCAACAACCGATTCCGCGACGCCTTGGCCGAAGCCGGCGGCAGCGCAAAGATGCCAGCCATGTCCATGCCGCCGTCGAGCGCGTCCATGATCCCCTCGACAGCGCAGCGACGGAGCACGGCCGACTTTTTCGGGTCGTTTTCATCGTCTGCCGTCAAAGCGACGCCGTCACGGCCGAGAGCCTCTGCGCCGCTCGGTGCGCCGCATGACGAACCCAGCATACCCCCGTCCTCGCCCCTCATGGCGAGGAAACCGGCACGGCAGCAGTTGGCCGTGCCTGCGGCGACCCCTGCGCGACCTCGGCCGCGGGCGATGCGCTCCCCGTCGCCGATCGGGGCGCACGTCTTTGACACGCCTGTCAAGGCGGCCACGTCCTTCAGCTTGCCGGAGGACGAAATCGCGGCGACGCCTGTCATGAAGACGGCTGCGCCTGCGGAGAAGAAGGCTTCTTCGATTTACGAGAAATTGGGATGGGATGATGACTTTGACGACTTGTTATGAGGTTTTGTTTGGCCTGGATAGGAGCAGGACCGGGCTGGCGTACTCGTGTTATTGGCATGCATAGGGAGGACTGTCGGGATGGCTTGCTAGCTTTAGGGGTCTCGGCAGGTGATATGGATACCAGGCATCATTACGATCAGGATGGACAGTATAAGCCGACGCTCGGAGTGGACTCGGACATTTGTCAATGTGCGTGAATGGAAGGGGGACGGGCTAGCTAGGTAGCTATCTATACCCAAGAATTATACTTTCAAATCGTGACCAAAATCTTACTTCACGCACGACTTTCTGTCCTAGACGGCGCTCGCCCCTCCTCCTCCTCCACCTCCTCCACCACCATGACGGGCAAGTCCCGGACGTCGACGTGCTCGGACGTGCCGAGGTCGATGACGCGAATGGCCTCGACGCCGACGATGCCCGCCCGCAGCGCGACGAACTTGAGCTCGACGACGTGGCAGGCGCCGGCGGCCAGGGGCCCGACGCGCGTGTCGGCGCTCAGGCAGAGGACCTCTGTGGTGTCGACGAGGGAGCTGCGCTGCATGGCGTGGACGACGTTCTCGTCGAGGACGGCGTCGGCTGTCTGCCGCGCGTCGAGGAGCGTCTTGCCGCGTCCCGAGGTCGAGGGTGGGCGCACGGAGCGGGCCTCGTTGCGGCGGCGCTTGGGGATGGCGACGAGGGCGAGCTTGCGCGGCGGAACGGTGGTGGTGGTGGCGGCGGCGGCAGCAGCATTTCCAGTGGTGGTCCTGCTCGTGGCTGGCGTCTCGGGGACGCGGTTCACGACGTAGACGGTCCAGACAAAGGGCTCACCCGGGTAAAGGGGCCCCGGTGGTGCGTGGAAGGTCATGGTGAGGCCGAGCTCGGGGATGGCGGTTTCTGTCGTGCGCGACGTCGCGGCTTCGAGGGCCGGCAGGGCGTCGGGGCGGCTCACGGCCGGGGCGGTGAGGGACTGCGCCATCTCGGAGCCGCCTATGGAGAGCTGGGAGGGGCGGTGGGCGCGCTGAATGGCCTGCGGGGCAGAGCCGAAGCCGGGGTTGACGGGAAGGGTAAAGTCAAGGAGCGTGGACCAGGAGAGAGTCAGCTTGGGCGTGCAGACACCGGGAATGGCGTGGATGGTGCCCTCGATTGTGATGTCGAGGTCGCGTGTCGGGATCTTTGTCGTCGTCTCGAGTTGCTTTGGGGCCAGGCGGTAGAGGAGCGTGACGTGATCGTGGGCGACACAGGTCATGGGGAGCGTCAGGCCAGACTGTTCGTTGAGGTTCTCAATGGTACCGTCAGGAACAGACAGCTTAATGCTGTCGATGGTGGCCTTGCAGTCAAAATGCGGTGTCAAGTCGATCTCGAGCAGCGCAATCAGGGCAGCGCTCGTGGGGATGGTGTTAGGTCTGGAGAAGCGTACGCGCGTGTGTATCGCGGGGAAGACGTTGATCTCGAGACTGGATTGCGTTCGAATGGGCTGCATGTGTTCCTTCGTCTGCGTCACGGGAGCGACGCGCGACACACGCAACGCCGAGAGCTTGGGGGCCACGCCTTGGAGCGCCGGGTCGCCGTAGAGAGAATCCAGCAGGTTGAAGCCAGCAGGTACACCGCTTCGAAGGTAGCCGGCCTTCTCGCCGACGGCTGTGGACTGGTCATCGGGCTTCAGGCTTGCTGAAGCGCGGAAAACAACAGAGGGACCCTGCAACCTGATGCGTGGTCTCGAGAGGAAGATGGGCAGCTTCCAGACGGCATAGACATGCGGCTGGCTCTGCTCGTCATCGCTGTCACTCTCCTCGGCGGCGTCGACTACGATAAAAGGGTCGTCGGTCTCCTCCACCACGCCTTCAAAGATGGTGTCAGACGCTGGGGGTCCATCTCGGTCCTGGGCTTGGCTGTTGACGATCTGTGCCTCGAGAGAGATGTGCAGCCTCGACAGGTAGGAGCGGAGAGTCGTCTCATCGGCAAGTGGTGTGCGCAGAATCACGTGCACGTCCACCGTCTCGTCTGCCCGAACATCAGCCTATGCGTAAAGGCGCCCAAGGAGTGACCTACAGACCAAAGAAGAGAGTCTTGCGCTGCTCTATCGAGTCAAACACTGATCCGGTACCGCTAGCTTCTGTAGAGAGTTCCTCAAGGTCAAGGTCCGTTGCCTGGGGAATGATGTAACTGAGAAAGGAGTTCTCAACAAAATCCGAGACTCCATTTGGACTTGACCGAAGGCCACCCTCGTCATCAGCCATTTTCGAGTCAAGGGATGGCCTGAGCCGAGCGCATCCTTCGACGACAGCCTCAGATGTGTGCTCTCAGAGTCAAGTTGGGAGATCGGTGAGGTGGGCGTCACGTGAGACTTGCAAGGCGATGTGTGGAGAGGTTGGCCGGTGAGAAGAGGCGCCCTCGAACAGATAAATGGACTAAAGATATACTCGGATAACCAATCGACTAAATGAGTCGAGATGCTTCTTTTGATATCAGGGTTTGCTTTACAGAACTGCAGCCAGAGACAAGCAGGCAAGATGGCCAGAAGCGTGAAGGAAGACGTCCCCTGAATCCTGAGCAGCACAGGCTTATGTAAGCATGCCTTAGGTAAAGCACAAGGCGTGCAGTTTGACAAGGCTCTGGGCTCTAGCCTTTTTTTGGGCCCTGGACTCGCGACTCTGGGGCCATTTTTGGGCCTTCCTCATATTCTCGGTGGCCTGCAAGTCAAAGCCGCGCCAACCTTCGTTTGCTTCACCCACCCACGCCCTTCCAACCGCGACAACGTCGTATGACACACAGCCATTGCTACGTCGTGGCAAATTCTACTGGGAAAACGAATCGCATCGTCGACCCGAAGAACGCCTGATCGCCCGCCACCCATCGGCAACGTCACACGATGAATGGCGTGGGGAGCTCGTTCGGGCAACCTGCGCAATGGCAGGAGCATCGGACCGAGGATGGTCGAGTCTACTATTACAATGCTGCCACCAAGGTCACCCAGTGGACCAAGCCCGAGGATATGATGACGGCTGCCGAGGTGCGTAGCATGGACTCGCTGGTGCATCACACGACTGGAGAGCTAACATTGGCTATAGCGCGCTCTGGCGAACCAGCCATGGAAGGAATACACGGCTGAGGGTGGCCGCAAGTACTGGTACAACACCGAGACGAAGCAGAGCTCATGGGAGATGCCCGAGGCCTACAAGCAAGCCTCTGGCGCCACCGACACCCCCGTGCCCCCGGCTGCCGCTCCTTACAACGGCGGAGATCGATACAGTGGAGGAGGCGACAGGTACAACGGTGGTGGAGACAGACACAACGGCGGGGACAGACACAACGGCGGTGACAGGCACAACGGCGGTGACAGATACGCGGGCCACGACCGCTACCGCGACGACCGAGACGCTCTCCCCGAGTCGCGCCAGCTGACCTACAACAGCGACCCTGCTGCCAAAGCATTCGTCCCCGCCAGCAACGACCCCGACTACGCCACCTTTGAGGAGGCCGAAGCCGCCTTCCTCAAGCTGCTGAAGCGCAGCGGTGTCCAGCCTGACTGGAACTGGGAGCAGACGCTGCGAACAATCGCCAAGGATCCCCAATACCGCGCCATCAAGGATCCCAAGGATCGCAAGGCCGCGTTCGAGAAGTACTGCCATGACATGATTGTGCACGACAAGGAGCGTGCCAAGGAGAGGCTGACCAAGCTGCGTGCCGATTTCGAGACCATGCTGAAGAGGCATCCCGAGATCAAGCACTACACCCGCTGGAAGACGGCGCGGCCCATGATCGAGGGCGAGACCATCTTCCGCTCGACCGACAATGAGACGGAACGCCGCCAGCTGTTCGAGGAATACATCATTGAGCTCAAGAAGGTCCACGTCGACCACCAGACGTCGTCGCGCAAGACGGCCATGGACGGGCTCATTGACCTGCTGCCCAAGCTGAACCTCGAGCCCTACACGCGCTGGGCGGACGCCCAAGGTATCATCTCCTCCACCCCGCCTTTCCAGAACGACGAGAGGTACAAGACTCTCAGCCAGTTTGACGTCCTGACCGCGTTCCAAAACCATATGAAGGCCCTCGAACGCACCTTCAATGACTCGAAGCAGGAGCAGAAGAACCAAAAGTTCCGCAGGGAGCGCAAGGCCCGTGATGCCTTCCTGGACCTTCTCAACGAGCTCAGAAGGCAGGGTAAGATCAATGCCGCGACCAAGTGGCAAAAGTTCCACCCTCTGATCGAAAATGAGGAGCGCTACCGTGCCATGGCTGGCCAACCCGGCTCTACGCCGCAGGAGCTCTTCTGGGACATTGTCGAGGAGGAGGAGAGAGCACTGCGCGGCCCTAGGGTCGACGTGCTCGATGTCCTCGATGTACGTTTGGTCCGAAACCGCTGTAGAGTATCCCCTGCTAACACATGGGCTAGGATGAGCGGTTTGAGGTGACTCCCAAGACAACCTTTGACGAGTTCCTTGCTGTTGTCAAGAAGAACCGACGCACTGCTAACATTAACAACGATACCCTCACCATCTTGTTTGAACGCGTAAGTCTGCGCCCGCCCCCCCTTTCCTCTTGTCTATCAAAGTTCTAATGTCTCATCAATGCATTAGCTCCAGGAACGCCGATCCAAGCGGCCAGAGGATGACAAGCACTCCGAGCGCCAACAACGCCGAGCGGTAGACGACCTGCGCACGCATATGAAGCGCGTGGAACCTCCCATTGCCGTCGGCGATACATGGGAGAAGGTTCGCCCGCGTCTTGCGGATAGCCCGGCTTTCCAGGCCGTCGCCTCCGAGGAGGCCAGAGTCGGTGCCTTTGACAAGTTTGTCCGCCGACTACGCGAGAAGGAGGAGGACGCCGACCTTGACCGCCGCAGGCGCCGTGATCGTGGCTCGAGTGAGCGCGACCTGTACCGCGATCGCGACACTCATCGCGAGAGAGACCGTTCGAGAGGTGAGAGGTCCTACCGTGGTGGGGGAGGCCGAGCTTCCAGGCGCAGCCGCAGCCCCGAAGTGGACGCCTACGAAGCCGACAGACGTAAAGCCATCGCCGAGCGCAAGCGCAACCACCGCAAGTCAACCATGGCCGAGAGCCTGCTGTCGGACCGTCGCGCCTCGCCGCCGCCGCCGCCTCCCCGTCGTGAGCGTTCGCGCGAACGCAACGGCGGTCGCGACCGTGAGCGAGAGCGTGAACGGGAGCGAGACCGAGACTACGATCGCCCCAGCCGATCCCGCCGCGACGACGACGCATATTACGACCGCGACCGACGTGACAGGGAGGACGAGCGCGAACGTACCTACCGCCGACGCATCGATTCATATGACGAACTTCCTTATGGAGATGAGCGTCCTTCTGGATCCCGCCGCCGCCGAGACGACGATGATGCCGACAGACGGGATTCCAGAGACTCCAAGGTACGCTGGACCACACGATCCCAGACACACCCACGACTGCATTACTAACGCGTTTTTCCCACCCTTTGTAGCGAGTCAAGCGTGAGAAGACACCCCGCGAGCGCGAGACCACCCCTCCTCGCGACGTCAAGACTAAGTCCCCCCTTCCCCCGACCGCCACTACCGCTGCTGCTGTGACGGGTAAGAAAGAAGCCAAGGAAGATGACGCCGGCGTTCATTCTGGGTCCGAGGAAGGCGAGATTGAGGAGGATTAGGTACCCTTCTCCCCGCATCTGGAACGAGAGAGATGGATGTAGAACGGATGCATGGGGCGGAAAAAGGCTGGACATCTTCTTCTTCAAACAAGTCTTCGAGTACGTCCCGCCGCGAGACCCTCCGTCTTCGAGGGGCCTGATGACCTGCTGCGCGTACAGATCCTCGGCATACCCTCGCACACATGCGCACGCACACACACCAAATATTCGCCACTGTGCTTTTCCAACGGGCTGACGAGCACCGCTATCGTGCTCGGCGACCATGAAAAGGAGTCCAGCCGCGACCGCGAGAAATAGTAGTATGTATGATTTTTCTTCAATCTTGCTGAATGTTTAATCCCATTACATCTATGCCAGATTCTAGTGATTTTTTAAAATTCAAAACGAAAGAACACACGAGGGCGGTGATGTGATGCTGCAGCATTCGTCGTATCTAGCTGAGTGTATTTTCTCGTGTACCCTATCTGGCTCTCTGCAAATAGTTTCCTCGTACGAGTTGGGTGCCGCTCGACGAAAAAACTGACGGCAGTCATCCTGCTTGTTCCATTGCCCCTCAATCTACGATGATGGTCTGTCTGCTTTCTCCTCTTGCCTCGTTGCATATAGAACCGCCTTGAGGTAGCCATGCCACGCTGATCAAGGTGACCCCATGCGCAATTGTGTCAAGACGAAGAAAGAAAAAGAAAAGGAAGAAGAAATGCAAAAGAATTGGACAAGAACAAGAAACAGTCATCCAGACAAAACCATCATACCTCGTAGGACCAGGCAACAGGGGATAGACTGCCGTCGCCGCTGTCAGTCGGCGTCATCATCGTCGGCCTCGCCGGCCTCGTCTAAACCATCAAAAGCACCCCGCCCGCCGCCGGAAGCGTGCCCCCGCGACTCTTTATGCTGCCCCTTTTGAACGCCCAGAACGCCCTGACCCGATGCATTATCGTGACGGTGGAAGAAATGATCCTGGCGGATGCCCTCTTCAAGAGCTCTTTTCCGGGTCGTCCAGGAAGAACTGGTGCGTTCACACGTGTTAGCATCAGAGATTTCAGAATTGCGAGAAAGTGGGGGGAGTGAACGTACGTAGTTGCCGCCGGCCTTCTGCTCCTGGTCGAGCTGCGAGTTGGACTTGTTGATGCGGGGGCGGTAGTTGGTGGGGTCGCGACGGAAGGTGACGTCGAGGTTCTTCAGGAAGGTGTTGCAGCCGGTGAGCAGCGACTCGGGCGTGTTGGCGTGGGCGTCGATGCCGGGCTGGCCGTCAAAGACGATGACGCGGTCCGCGAGGTAGGTGGCCATGATGAAATCGTGCTCGACGATAAAGGCCGTCTTCTTGGCGTGCATGATGAAGCGCTTGATGACGCGCGAGGCAATGATACGCTGCTCCGAGTCGAGGTAGGCCGAGGGCTCGTCGATGAGGTAAATGTCGGCGGGCATGCCGAGGGACAGGACGATGGCGACACGCTGCAGTTCACCACCGGACAGGTTCTTGACCTCCTGGTCGATAAAGTCGTCGAGCTTGAGGGGCTTGACGACGTCGGTCTGGAACTGGGGCGACAGGAAGGCGGCCTTGATCTTCTTGAAGAAGAGCTGGCGCACGGTGCCTTCAAACTTGGGCGTGATGGTCTGGGGCTTCATGCTGATGCGCATCTCGGGCACGGAAGACTTGCTGTCGGGCTTGAGGGCACCGGCCAGCAGGCGGCAGAAGGTGGTCTTGCCGGTTCCGTTCTCGCCCATCATGACAATAATCTCCGAGTCGGTAAAGTCACCGGCATCGATGTTCAGCTTGAAGTTGCCCAGCGTCTTCTCCATCTTGGGGTACTTGAAGGCGCGCGACTTGTCAATGACGTAGTCGTCGGCGCCCTCTGCGATACGGAAGGTGAGAGACTCCTCGCGGAAACGCAGGTTCTCCGTGGGGATGTGGCCGTCGAGGAAAATGTTGATACCTTCACGGACAGACTGGGGTAGCGTGACGACACCGTAGACGGCGGGCTTTCCGTAGAGGACGCAGATAAAATCCGAAAGGTAATCCAGGACGGACAAATCGTGCTCGACGACGATGACGTAGTTGTTGTCATGAAGCAGGGAGCGGATGATACGCGCAGCGCTCAACCTCTGCTTGACATCGAGGTAGGAAGACGGCTCGTCAAACATGTACACGTCGGCCTGGCGAACACACACGGTACCGATGGCGAAACGCTGCAGCTCTCCACCGGACAGGAGGTTGATCTCACGGTCCATGATGTGGTTGAGCTCGAGGACGTCGCACACCTCGTCGCGGTTGCCCATGTTGCTCTGGGCATCGATCAAGCCCTGGACAGTCTTGACAGGGCCACGGACGGCCTTGGGGATCTGGTCGACATACTGCGGCTTGACGATGGCCTTGAGGTCGTCCTCGAGAAGCTTGGTAAAGTAGTCTGTTGGGAGAAGCTTTCGTCAGCGGGGATGATCGCAAGGCAGCTGTATCGCCAGACAGGTGACAAGAGAGAAAGGGAAGAGAGAGGGAGACCTACTCTGAAGTTCAGAGCCACGGAAGTACTTAATGACGTCCTCCCAGTCGGGAGGGTTGTCATACTTGCCCAGGTTGGGCTTGAGCTTGCCGCTGAGGATCTTGAGAGCGGTACTCTTGCCGATACCGTTGGTTCCGACGAGACCAAGAACGTTGCCAGGGCGGGGCATAGGCAGGCGGTGAAGCTTGAAAGAGTTGGCCGAGTAGCGATGGGTGACCTGCGTCTCGAGGTTCGTGGGCAGGTTGATAATGGTGATGGCGCCGAAGGGGCACTTCTTGGGGCAGATACCACAACCAATGCAGAGCGACTCGGAGAGGAAGGCAATGCGGGACGCGGGGGACACCTCAATGCAGAGCTTGCCGGAGCGCACGACGGGACATGACTTCTTGCACTCCTGTCGGCACTTCTTGGGCTTGCACTTGTCGCTGTTGACGATGGCGACACGAGTGAGTTTGTCAGACATTTTGGCGGTTTCCCTGCGCGTCGCGTCGATGTCGTGATGGGTGTCGTGTGTCGAGGAGGGGGACAAAGTTGTGGTGGCGGGGTTGACGATGCTGGATTTTCTGGGTTTTCGCTAAAGAGGGGCAAAATGCAGTTCTGGGCGGGCAGACCAGGGCAAAACAGGCAGAGGACGAGGCGGGCAATGGCGACAAAGTCGCACTGAGCGTATGTCGCAGCCTGTTCAAGAAGGGGGGTATCAAAAGCACGGCGGGACGTGAAACACGGTTTGTTCTCTCGCAAGGCTTCGAGGGTGAGCAGGAAGTCCAGATGAAAGAGGAGGGGCACACCGTGTCCAAGTCTTTTCTTTGCCAGGCTCGTCTCATCCGGGCTCGAGGATGCGGTCATCAAATTTTGGTGGGTTGTGAATCGTCCGTTTGGCGGGGTAGGGTAGGGGAGAAGGGCCCCGCCGTGACCCCCGGAGAAACCAAGTACTGCGTAGTATTCCTACGGTGCATGTAGCCTGTGCGCTACAAGGTTCTACATATTCAAGCTCACCCGCCCTACGAGGAACTCCCGCGTTTGGCGGCGGTTCAAATTACGGAGGAGAGGGTATGTCCTCGACCATAAAGGAGCTGTGAGCAACAAGCTCACATGATCTGTGGTCTGGATATTGACGCTGAAGTCACGTAGGATTGGCTGTTGGCGCATGTCAAAACCCGAACAACTGTCTGCATCTTGTTGGTGATGTTGGCTACACTGCGAACAACGCCATGCTGGACACTGGTATAAAGCAGAAATGGGATCGCCAGGGAATATCTGGACCCAGTAAATAGCTTTTTTTGCAGCAAGAGTATAAGTTTATCATTGCGGAGCTCACTTACTCGTTCGAAACATCGGTAATACAATGTCATGCCGTTGCTTGTCTTTATATCAACGATGACACCTGATGCATAGGTATTGTAGGTATTAATTATTTAAGCTAGGTACCTAGGTAGGAAAGCGTTCCGAAAGAGGCTGGCCGCAACCCTATGATACCGTCACGATGTCATCAATGCCAACTGATCGAAAATGGATCAACAAGCGACGATTGCCCAACCTTTTGTAAACTCCTAGAGAGCATCACTAACATCGAACCCTCTTGTAGACACAACAAAATGTGTATGGACAAAGCCATCAAGACACACAGACATGGACTCAAGAGTACCAAGCCGCAGGGAAGGAGGACCCAGGCCAGAGAGAAAGTCTCTGCAGGAGTCGTAGGTACCTACTTGACTCGGGCTCTTGCGTTCAAGTCATAAACTTGTGAGGTACCTTGGCTCCGTTGATACTGTTGGCTGCAGGCTAGTGACTCAATCGCGTTGTCTGGAAAGCCATGACTGCCTCAGGCCGTCATTTCCCTCAGCGAGCGTGGGCTGAGCCTGGCCCGAGCCTGGCGCCTTGGGGCTACGCTTTCCAGCACGGTACGGCCACGGCAGGCACGCTGGCCGGTCCCACTTTTCTTCTCTTCCCAGCACCAAGGTGTCCGACTACGCTACCTTACCTACACCTCCACACTCACCCGTGCACCACCCAATTCTTCCAGCCTCCACCATACCTGACATTTTGATATTCACGTCTTCATCCACCGCGATCCCTCGCTACCCTGGCATACACCAGCCACAACCCTTGAACCATCCTCCCGTACCCCCTCCTCGCCTCAAGCTGCCTGGGGGCTCTAATTCATGACTTGTAAGTGCCTTGCCCTTGCCCATTATCCCACCGGCCAGGCCTGTTCCCCATTCTCGCCAGCCCGCCGAATCGACCTCGGCGCTGGCTGTACGCGACCGCATCATCGCGTCCAAGGAACTTCCCGATACCTCGGCTCTACTGGAAATTGATGAGCCTGATGATTCTCGATGATCTGGATACGACCGTGGGCTTGCGAAACCCCTCACACATGGCCCATCACGTCAATTGCTGCTTCGCTGTCTGTCAGCCTCGCCTTCATCGAAGACCCCCCAAAGAATGCGACGAGAATGATAACTCCATCATTTCCGGATGTTCCTCAGTCCCAAGACCGTCAATCCAGTCGCTGAGACCCTTACGAATCGGCTTCTAGTCTCTGCCGGTCCTCGTCCTTGTCGGAGCTTCGCTAACCTCTTCTTCTGTTCAGCGGGCAGCCTCGACTTACACCTCCACCATGTCTAGCCCTCTCCAGAACGGCTCCTCGGACGGGCATCGATCGCCTCGAATGCCCTCCGCCTCCCCCCGCGTCGCGAGTCCCCGCCGAAGCCCTAGCGAGACCTCCGATCAGCAAGATGACGCGGTGGACGCCCCGTCGCCCTCGCCCGATGCCGAAGACTCGACCATGTACATGAATGGCGGTCATGACTTTGCCGAAAGTAGTCCTTCAGCCGATGAAAACAACGCGTCAGATGATGCCGACTTCGACATGGAGGACGACCTTCCCAATGTACAGAGCGACGGCGCTGTCGACGCGTTGTCTAGCTCCAACGACTCCCAGAGGCCTTCAAAACGAAAGGCTGGTGTCGAAGTTCAAGAAGACCTCTACATCAAGGCCAATCCAGAGTTGTATGGTCTGAGGAGAAGTGTACGATCCTTCCAATTGATACTCGCCGCGATGAAGCTGTGATTAACATACCCTACCAGACGCGACCAAGGGAGCAGCGCAAGATCGTAAGTCACTGGCCTACTCATCCTTCGCATCATCGCTAACATCAGGTCAGGTCGATTCTGATGATTCGGAATCCGATGTGCCTGTCAATCGGAGAAAGGTAAAACGGCGACGTGTGGAAACATCACAACGCTGTAAGCCTTCCCATCTCACCTAGCGACTCCCACCCTCTTCCTTGCTAATCAGCCTGCCCGCCCTTCAGCCTCAAAAGTCAACACCCCTATTCGACAGGCATCGGCCGACGATTCAGACTCGGACAACTACGGTGGCGCTCGAGCGAAAACTCTGCAAAAGAAAGCCCGCCGCCAGCGCGAGGCACAACCATCCTCACTGTTGGCCGAGAAGAGGTGGTCCAGTCGGCGCGCTGCCCAGACAGTGCAACAAGGCGGTTACGAAGAGAGCGACTTCGAAGACGAAGAAGACGAGGCCGCACAGGACGCTCAGTACTACGCCCCCGAAGCGGACAACTCGCCATACATTGACAAAGTCTTGCGTCATCGTCTCAAAGATGGCCTCGAGCTGAGCTTCGAGTCGACACGGCAAGACTTTGAATACTATATCAAGTGGCAGGGCAAGTCTCACCTCCACGACACCTGGGAGACTGCCCAAACACTGCGCGACGTGCGAGGCTACCGAAAGCTCGAGAACTACTTTAGAGTTGTCGTTGATCATGAGCTCTACATCCGATTCGGATTCGACATCCCGCCTGAGACCAAAGAGCAATTCTTCCTGGATCGAGAGCGTGTTGAAGAAGCGCTCGAAGATTACACCAAGGTGGATAGAGTGGTAGCTGTTCGAGACGGCGATGAAGAGACCGAGTATCTCGTCAAGTGGAAGGGCTGCTACTATGATGAGTGCACCTGGGAAGTTGCCTCAGCCATCAGCACCGACTTCCAGGACAAGATCGATCAGTTCCTTGACCGATCCTCTCGCCAATGGGTGTCAGATCGGACCGAGACCAACCCAGACACGCGTACAAGAATGACGAAGCTTGAAGCCCAACCCGACTACATCAAGGGTGGTGAGCTACGGACCTTCCAGCTCCGTGGTCTGAACTTCCTCTGTCTGAACTGGACGCGGGCGAACAATGTCATTCTTGCCGACGAAATGGGTCTCGGAAAGACGGTTCAAAGCGTGTCATTCATGAGCTGGCTTCGCAACGACCGCGAACAGGAAGGTCCCTTCCTTATTGTCGCTCCACTCAGTGTCATCCCAGCATGGGGTGATACCTTTGACAACTGGTCTCCGGACATGAACTATGTCGTGTATCTCGGCAACGAGGCCTCTCGCCAGACTATCCGCGAGAATGAGCTAATGATCAACGGTAACTCGAAGAAGCCCAAGTTCAATGCTCTCATCACCTCGTACGAGATGATTCTGCATGACTGGTCATTCCTGCAGACCATCAAGTGGCAGGCTCTGCTGGTCGACGAAGCACACCGCCTGAAGAACAAGGAGTCTCAGCTATATGCCAAGCTGGTTAGCTTCGGCGTTCCCTGCAAGATCTTGATCACCGGTACCCCGATTCAGAACAACCTCGCCGAGCTTTCGGCTTTGATGGACTTCTTGAACCCGGGCAAAGTCATCATCGATGAAGAGCTCGAGACTCTCACCGGTGCTGATACCCAGGAAAAGCTGCAGGACCTGCACACATCGATCGCCCCGTATATTCTTCGTCGTACAAAAGAGACTGTGGAGTCTGACCTTCCGCCAAAGACGGAGAAGATCATCCGCGTCGAACTCTCTGACGTGCAACTGGAATACTACAAGAACATCTTGACCCGCAATTACGCCGCCTTGTCCGACGCTACCGGCCAAAAGAATTCGCTCCTGAACATCATGATGGAACTGAAGAAAGTCAGCAACCATCCTTACATGTTTGGCGGAGCCGAGGACAGGGTTCTCGCAGGCAGCACTCGTCGAGAGGACCAAGTCAAAGGCCTCATTGCCAGTAGTGGAAAAATGATGCTGCTCGATCAGCTCTTGACAAAACTGAAGAAAGATGGCCACCGAGTCCTCATTTTCAGCCAGATGGTGAAGATGCTTGATATTCTCGGTGATTATCTTGCCTTGCGAGGCTACAAGTTTCAGCGTCTGGATGGTACGATTGCGGCTGGTCCTCGTCGTATGGCAATCAACCATTTCAATGCCGAGGGAAGTGACGACTTCTGTTTCCTTCTTTCTACGCGTGCTGGTGGCCTGGGCATCAACCTTATGACCGCCGACACTGTCGTAATCTTTGACTCGGACTGGAACCCGCAGGCCGATCTGCAAGCCATGGGCCGCGCGCATCGTATTGGCCAGAAGAAACCGGTCAGCATTTACCGTCTCGTTTCCAAGGAAACCGTTGAGGAGGAGGTGCTTGAACGGGCACGCAACAAGCTTCTTCTTGAGTATCTCACCATCCAGGCCGGTGTCACTGATGAAGGCAAGGCCTTCCGCGATGAGTTCAACAAGAAGGGCTTGAAGATGGATGGTCCCAGCTCGGCCGATGACATTCAGTGGATCCTCAAGATGCGCTCGCAAAAAATGTTTGAGCAGACCGGTAACCAGGAGCGTCTTGAACAACTGGATATCGACTCCATCTTGGAAAATGCTGAAGTTACCAAGACAAAGGTCGACGACAAGATGAACCTCAGCAGTGGTGGCATCGATTGGGACAACTTTATGCAGTACACCGACGTCAAGGTCGACGATCTGGCTCTTGATTGGGACCAGATCATCCCTGCCGAGGAGCTTGAGAACATCAAGGCTGAGGAGGAGAAGCGCCGTCACGAAGCTTATCTCGCCAAGGTCGCCGCGGAGAGCGCACCACGCCGAGCCGCCGTCAAGAACCGCCATAATGAAAATGACAGAGCTGATCGCGTCGCCAAGAAGCGGCAGAGGGAAGAACAGCAACGGCAAGAGGCCGAGGAGCAGAGGGCTCTACTGTCCGATCCCAGACGTCCTTTGAACGAGAAGGAGACCCGCAACCTTCTCAAGGCATTCTATCGTTACGGAGCCATGGAAGACCGTGGCGATGAGATTGTCCATGAAGCTCGCCTGACGGAACGAGACAGGGAGTTCTTGAGTTCCATCATCGATGACTTTACCAAGGTCTGCGGTCAAGCTCTGGATGACAACTACTCGAAGCTGGAGGAAGACGAACGGAAGCTTGGAAAGTCTCTGACAAAGAAGGACAAGAAGGCAGTCTTGATCGACTTTGGAGAGGTTCGCAAGATGAATGCCGAGACAGCCATTGAACGGCCCAAGCAGCTGCGTCTCCTCCGTCAAGTCCTGCGCAAGAACAACGACGACAAGTCTTTTCGTCTACCGGACGCCTCCAAGGCAGCCCACTACAGTTGTGAATGGGGTGCTAGGGAAGACGGCATGCTTCTGGTCGGCATTGACCGGTATGGTTTCGGTGCCTGGACGCAAATTCGCGACGATGCTGGCCTGGATCTGCAAGACAAGTTCTTCCTGGAAGAGCATCGTGTTGAGAAAAAGGAGGAGCGCAACAAGGCCAGCGAGAAAAGTATCAACTCTCCAGGCGCGGTCCATCTGGTCCGTCGTTCCGAATACCTTCTTTCCGTCTTGCAGTCGAAACATTCCACCGACGCTGCCACACTGAAGGCTGTGGAAAATCACCACAGGAACAACAAGAAGCACCTCAATGGGGGCCGACGCAGTGAACTTGGTAGTGCGGCTGCATCACCTGCTCCTCACCTGAGCAAGAAGAACAGCAGCCACCGGGACCGGGAACGAGAACGCGATCATCACAGGTCACGGAGTAATGTGGACGACCGCGGAACGCCGCGCCCCGAGTCCAAGAGGAAGCACTCGGGACACGATGAGGGACGCATTCCCAAACACCGACGAACTGATGACAGTCGTCGGTCGAAGGGTCACGCAGACGACCGGAAATCTCCTCGCCCCGAAAAGAGACGCCACCGAGAAGAAGACGGCGATCGTAAGCATCGCAGGCCCGATGAGTCCCGGCATAAAGACGATCGACGCCGCTCGCATGACAACAGTCAGGCTCATGACGAGGATCGCGAGCGTAGAAACCAGGCTCTTGCACGCCTCGCAGATCTTCGCCTCATGGGCGACAGCCGCGAAGAAAGAGAAAAGGACCCCGATGCGATGCTTTGGTATCTACTCAAACCTGTACGGGAGAACTTTGAAATCATTCTCGGCACGACAAAGGATAAGGTAAAGTCTAGCAAGGAGCGTGCGAGGATCTTCGGGTCGGAGCTGGTCGTGATTGGCAGCTTTCTCGATCGCGAATTTGTCCGAGAATCGGACAAGCCCCTGAAGAATCGCTTCTGGTACGTATATCTTGCTTCACCCGCCACACAAACAACGCTGACTCAATGGTGTAGGGAATTCTTGGCTACGCTGTGGCCTGTTGACAGCACCAGCAACCCCGTGACCGCGGACAGACTGAGCTTCCTATACAGGACCATCCGCGACCGGGAACAGTCGGACGCGAAGAAGAAGGCGCAGAACTCCAACGGCACAGCCGCTACCTCTTAGATGCAGACGACTGTGGCGCATCAAAGTTCGCGATACCCTTGATACTGAACCATGACGACTATTGGTGTAATTTTTTTTTCTTCTTCTACATTTCAACGATATTGTGTGTGGCATGCATGCATGGCAAGGCGTTCCGGAAGGAAGGGGATGGTACATTTTGTTCAGAGGGCCCAAAATCACGATAAACTACAAGCCGGGATCAAGCATCAAGATGCGGCCACTGAGCCGGTTATTTGCGCGCGCAACTGCATGGCGTACTGGGGCGATCCGACGGGGGTGAGCGGAAGGGCGAGAAGGCTTAGGGGGGCGGGTTGAATGTCACATGACATTGCAGCCTTGCCCTCTTCGCCTCGTTCGCGAGGCTGATCAATGCAATGGGCCCATTGCCGCTGGTTCCCTATAAGGCCGCGTGCGAGAGGCGGAATGTCACGAGAGGACTGTTTTTCTTCTTCTTTAGTGTTGGCCGTTCGTGTACAGAAAGACTTTTGCAGAATGAGGGACAGGTTCGGAAAAAGCTCAAGATACGTGCATCTCATCAGACTGGGGTGGGTTTGAAACGGCGTTTTGTTTTCCTCCTTGGGGGCAAGGCACATGTCACGTGTGCGGTGGGCAGGAGGCTGGCGGGCGTTCCATAGACAGTGAGCAGACAGACAGAGACAGAGGGTAGGCAGGTAGCTAGTTGGTGCCTTGCGAGGCGGGGATACCCAATTGACCCGGTTGTCTTTTCTGCGTGGGGTGCCCTTTCTGCTTTCCACTGGCTGGTTGCTCGCTCGTTGTATAGCGTGCCATGCCGTGCCCTGAAAGTGCTGTTTATGGGCCTTGAAATGAGTTTGGCCCCTCTGCTCCGAGAGTGAGTCGCCGGCCAGGTCTGCCAGGTGACGACGGCACAGTGCCCTTTTTAGCTTACCCTTCGCCCCCGCCGACTTGAACCCGTGACGCCGAAAGGAGGGTCTCGCCTGGAGGGGGACCTTGCCATGTTGGGGAGTGAGCGTCTCAAGCAAAGAACAGAGATGAGGTACACATGTCAGTCAGCTCACGTCAGATGTGTGTGTGTCTATGTGTGTGTGATTATATGTGCCATTCATCGAGGGTATTAAACAACCGGATCCAAACACCGTCGTTCGGATCAGGCAAGGTAGGTATTTTCTAAACATGAAACTCCGTACGCCAGCCTCCATGCTCCTGACACTCGTCCTCTCTCTGGCGAGGGCAACCAGCGCCCGCCAGTTGGTGAGGGATGCGTATCGCAACCGTGCTTTCGGTTGCCTTGCAGAGAGTCTCCCTGTAGTCATGAAGACAATGCTTCCATTCGAGCCTTTTTGAGCAGGCTTCCTCCAACACCATTGAAAAAAGGTACACCGACCGGTACTGTTTGTGACGCGTAAGAGTTACATTGTACAGCCCCCACCTGGCATTGTAAGCCTGCCAGACCGCCTTTCGTACTCCCAACTTGGAGTCGTCGATCTTTCAGAGTGCTTCTCGTCTCATCATGTCATCTGGCTCTAATTAATAAGCCCCTCCATCCCCCGAGGTTTCGATGATGGGGATATGATGCGCGGGCCCTCGGAAGCGGCTGCCACAATGCTGCCCAGGCAGCTATCGGTAGAGACGCCGATACAAGGCGACGACCGGCCGTCCAACGGAGAAGTGCCTCGCTGCGTGTGAGCCGGCGTAGTTGGTAGGGTAGCCAGGTCGCACGGCATGTCTTTCAGGGCAGGGAGCAGCGGTGAGGACATGAGGGAGTCGGCCTCGTTTTTTCCAAAAGACTTCTGCGCCGTGTACGCAACAGGGCTGCGGGACGAGGGCTGCTGTGGTCGCAAGGTGGGCAGTTCATTCGTGACCTCCTGCTTGACGTCTTTTTCTTGCTTTGCCTGGACGGGCGTAACGAGGGCTCGGTTCTTGACAGCACGGAAGGTCTGGGGGACTGCGTTCTTGGGAGGCTCGGCCGCCTTCTTCGCCTGCTTCCCAGACTTCTTTGCCGGCGCTCTCTTGCGCTTTTTCGATGGTGCCTCACTGTCCGAGCTTGCGACTGGCGTGGCACCAAAGGCAAGCTTGCTCTGTCTCGACTTTCCGGCCTTTTTGCCCGGCAGTGTGGGTAGCAATCGAGGGCTGGTGCTGGGCGTGGGAATGCCCTGAACCTTGGTGGCGTTGGCTTGAGTCTCGGTGAGAGCCTCAAACTCCGGCTTAGGCAGGGATGTATTGTGAGATGACTGCGAAAGCTGGACTTCCACCTTGTCCCGCTGCAGCCACTGCTCGCGTACCTTGTTGTCTTCTTCGTTGAGAATATCGCTAGGATCCGCGCTGGGCACATCGTAGGGGGGTAGTTGGGCAAAGTGGGCGACGTCATCAGATTTTCCGCGCACAACGAGGTCCCAGCAGTCCTTGAAATCGTTGTGCTGGGGCTCCGAGTCCAGATTGATCCAGGCAGTAAAGCCGCCGCGCTTGTTCCGAGTAGCCTGGCAGAGCTCCTTGACGAGGCGTCTCACACCGGGGATTTTGAGGCTGGTGCCGACGACAATGACGGCATCTGGTCGGCCCTTCAAATCAGAACTCGAGACGTTGCCGATTGCCTCCTCATCCGGGTTGTATTCGTTGTAGAGCACCATTCTGGGGCGGAGGCGACCGATTCCGTGACTTCGCTTTCCGCCGTGAATGGTTCTGACCGTGTCCATCTCGGTACACTCTGCGCAAAGTGGAGCCTCGTGCCCGACGAAAAGCTCCGTGTTCAGCGGGGTGATCTGTCCGCATTTTGAGCAGTTCATGTGCTCGACGCTTCCATGCAGCTGGATGGTCTTGGGCCATGGCCCCTTGCGGTTCAGAGGAACAGTCGTCTTCAACGGGGGCATGTTTGTATCGACACAGTCGACGTTCTGGGTGTAGAGTCGCATAAGGCGGCCCTCGGCAGCAAGGGAGGCGAGCAGGTGGTGGAATTTTGTGGGCTTGGCCGACTTGACCATGGTGGCCAGGTCGCACACCATTTTGTGGAACTTCTCCGTCGTCTCGTCATGCTTGTACACTGATGCGTCGAAGAGGTGCTTTCCGGAGCCCTTCATCTTGTGCTCGTTGGGCAGTGTCGCAAAGAGGCCTTGTTTGGACCGGAAGTCGGGAATGCCAGCGGAGACTGAAATACCGGCACCAGCAATGACGACAATCTTTTTCTGGTACCTGAGGGTGTCGACGAGGCGATCGAGTTTCCTGTCGCTCTCGGCGTCAAAGCCGTTGTCGCGGACCTTGTCAAAGTCGAGATATTCGGTGGTGCGCTCCTTGGGGGCGGCAATCTTGCGTCTCTTGCGAGGGCGCTCGGACGGCGCCGACGTGGCCATTTCGGCGAAGCTGCTGACGTTGATTGTGTCGGAGGCCAGCGGGGAGGCCAGCGGCATGTCGGCTCGCGAGGGTGATTGGCAGCCAGAGGCCAGGGCGGAAGAGGATGAGAGGGAAGTCATGGAAGGGGACGGGTAGCGGTCGGCGGGATCGCGAACGGCTAGGGGAGAGGAGAAGAGCGGTGGCGTCTTGGCCAATTCAGAGAGGGGCGAGGAAGGCACAGCGTCAAAGTCGGGTTTTCGGCTGCGGTCGCAGTCTGAATCGTCATGACAGTCGCGATCAGTCGGAACAGCAGACGAGGCTCTCTCACGAAGGCTCTCGTTGTCGCAGTCCATTTGGTCGTCGTCGCGCGGCCGTGGTTGTTCACCGTCAGGTAGGGAGTTCATGGTGGTGTCCTGATCGGAGTCAGGGTGGTCGGGGTCGTGGCGGTCGTGGGTCGAGCTGCGTAAGAGAGAGGGAAGGAAGGAGAAAGTGGACCAGGGTAGCGAAATCATGCGGCTCTCTTGCAGTGGGCGGTCGGTCGTTTTGGGGAGGAGCCTTTAGATCATGGCGCTTGTGTTCGGGGGGGGGGAGAAGAAGAAGAAGAAGAAAGGTAGGCTTTCCGCAAGGTTTAAAGCCTGGGGACGTAAGTTTGTTTTTGGGGGGGTGGCAGAAGAGAAGAAGACGGAGGACGGTCCAAGCAGGCGGGAGCGGGCGGGAGAATCGAGGTTCAAGGAGCAGGAAGGAATGAGTTGTCGTTGAAGAAAGGGAAATCGGCGGTCCGTCGCAGTCTGACGCTTCCTGCCGGGGGGGGAGAGAGCCACTCGCAACTGGATTCTCGAGCGGAGGCAAGAGGCCAATGAGGTGGCCCTGCATCAGGGAACATGGCGTGTGGAGGTGACCGGACGAGGGTACCGGGAGAGAACCTGGGATGCGGTGAGGGGCAGCCGCCCTCCCCAAGTCTCTGACGGGTCGCGTCATTTACCTGGCCATGTTTACCAACAGGGAGCCTACCTACCCAGGTACCTAGGCACCTAAGGAAGACAGGTAAGTACCTAGGTAGGTACAGACTGCAAAATGCAGCCACCTCTCCACGGAGCCTTCCGAAGTGCTGGGAGCAGCATCATCTTAGAGCCATGCAGCAGCACCAGGCCTGAGGCAAGCCATTCAAAGTCCTGCCGACTTCAGCTCCCTTTGTCCTCCCAGGCTGGAGACATTGACCGGATGGACGATGTCTCGTCTTGGTGCTGAGCCCTTTTCACTTCTTGGGTACAAATTGCGCGCTCAACTCTTGAGCCCTCAATTGTGAGAAAACCATGGTAATGGTACCAAACCGTGGTGAATTCCTTTGCTTCGGTCGAGGCCCAGTGCTTGCTTGCTTGCTTAGGTGGTTACCTACCTGACCGTTGAGTACCTTACCTTACCTCACAGGCCACCTGACAGTGCTGTTGTGCCGCGCCGCGTGCGCTATGCTCAAGTGCTGTCGCATGCCCGGCGCACACGCGTTGCTCGGTTACGAGATTGGGGGGCATGCCACCTGTGCTCGGCGGGCCACGGGTACGATCTTCTTGAACTGGAACCTGGGCAAGGGGGGGAGTGGGCCTTCCTCTGGCCTTCTGTGTCTCCCGTCCCAGACACCAGACATGGGCCCGATGAGATCTACCATGTACCTGGGCCCACAATTCTCTGTGTCTCCGGCT